TATCTCATTTTAAAGAGTTGTAGTGAAAACTCTTCCTAAAATAAAAAATCTTAAAAATAAGAAATTGCCTTAAAAACTTTTATCTCAACCTTTTATTTATTGCAATCATCGGTTAAGATTCACATGGGTTCTCATTCATAATTACCTAAATTCAAATTGGGTTTTTTGCAATTACTTCTGAACCATTACAAAAATGTCACCTAGTAATTATCAACCGTTGATTGTAAAATTGAATGGTGAAGATTACAAATCCTCATTTTAAAAATAGTTCTCATTTTAATAGGGGTTCTCACTAGAACTCTCTATGGGGACACCGCTCTTTCTTTTGGACTTCAAATTTTTCTATTATATACGGAGTATGTAATATTTTCATAAAATTTTTTCACTTTAATTAGGTGTGTAAATTTTTGTCCTCTTAACATTCTGTTTTCAAAATTAGTTTATAGGCTTGCGTAAGAGTACTTCCATCATTCTTTTTTAATTGCAATGGTCAACTTTTAACGATTGTTAACATACAAGTTTGACTATTAATATCTTTTATTCCTTATTAGTAAAAATATTTTTTTTAAAAAATCAAAACTTTAAAACGAGAGAAATTTAATAATATTTTTAAAAAGATTAATTTATAATTTGTTTGGAAGAATTCGGCTTAGATCGATAACAGATAATTCAGAGTATGGGTCAAATGACAAAAAAAAAAATCTGACAACCGTTATCCCACGAACCAGACTCAGAATTAATCACCTCCAAAGAAACAATATAATTCGCTGATCCATAAATGGGAAACCTAAAGTCATAAACAGTCACCATATTCCTCTCATCCCCCACATCCAAAATAAACGTCTTACAAACAGGAACATAATAGAAAAAACAAACACCAAAACAGACATAACAATCACTGAAACAGCAAATAAAACAAAAGAAAAAACACTTCTGTTGCAGCCAGAAACCTCGAACAATCCCTCGGACATGCGACCTCCACTCTTCTGTCAGCGGCTTCAACGGGCTTAAAGAGCAAAGCCCACCCCGCCTCCTCCCCGTTTTTTGTCCCATCCAAAGCCATAGTGTCCCCCTCTTGCTCCTTCTCTGTCTGAGTCTCCCAGATCTTCCTTCTCTTAGAAACCTCTTCTTTTGACTCATCCCCTCCTCCTTTGGTAAAACTTTGGGCTGATTCAGTCATAGACTCTTTCTCCTTCTCAACAATTTTTCCTTCTGATTTGAAAGCTCATGTATACTCCCTCGTTCTGCCAGGGCTCGATGAACCCTCCAAGAGCCATTTATTACCTCCTGTCGGGCTAGTGTCCAAGTGTCCAATAAATCCACAAATGAAGCAAAAGTTGGGTAGCCTTTCATATTTAAAATCTACCCAATAACTTTTACCATCTTTTTTCAGATTTGTCCCCTTCTTAAGCGATTTATCCATCTTCATAAGAACCCTAACCCGCATATATGGATCTGAACCCAAAACGCAGTCTCATTTAAGATAATTTTGTGTGAAATATCATGAAGCATAATTTCTTTTAACATTAACAGACTACGCTCAAACTGCCAAGGACCTCCTACAAGCACACATAACATATCAAAACGATGATTAAAAGTAAATAGATATCTCTGTTCACCAATTTCTTTTACCGACATACCCTTCCCCGGCCTCTAGAGTGAAAGCATCGTCTCCTTAAGGCCAGAAAATTTGACCTTTCGGTCCGTCATCACCTGGCCGATCACCGGAAAACCCGCCGCAGCCACCTCCACCGGAACTCCCTCCACATCAACCTCATCAAGATTCAGCTTCTCCTCATCAGCCCCGATCGCCATTTGTTTATACTGATCAACAACACTGTCCATACCCCTCGCCAACCTCCGCCGTCGCACGCTGCTGCAAGCCGCCTCGGAGAACTATGCTATCGAAACCTGAGTCAACCTCCTTGCCCGATCGCCCAACTTGTCGCTTCCCTTGCTACCGAGAACCTGACTAAATAACCCAAACCACCTCTATCTCCACCAATCTGAACGCCTACAACCCTGACTCCAACCACCGCCCAAACCAACCAACCAACTCGCCCCTTCGATATACTCGAAGGCGGACGAAAAACTGGGAGTTGCATGCGGCAACCCTAGAGAGAGAAACTCCGTTCTGATGTAGTAACTTACAAGCAGTGATGATAAAAATTTAATTTATAATATATTAATAAATAAGATTTAGTCAAAAAAAATTAATTTTATAATATATTACTCCGTAATAAATAAGTTTTAGTCAATTAAAATCATCAATGTTCCAACAAAAAGAGAACGCGTGTAGTATTTAATATGAGATGTAAAGGGATAAAAACCTAAAATATATTTTCTTTACATGGATAAGTCAATAATAGAACATTCCATTAGTTTAAAATTTAGGATACTTATTCGACAAAAAATCCTAGTTTTGTAAACTTTAATTTATCTTTATTGAATAGTTAGTACTTCATTTTATAAATATCAAACAATATTAAATATTGAACATATTAATTAACCAGTTTTAAAATAATGTGAAGTGAATCTAAAATAATACTCCGTATTAACGTTTGAATGACATGAAAATTATACAATTTACATAGTTCTGACTTTTTAAAAAGAACTTATTGCACAAGTAATAAACTTTAAACAATTCTAACATTAATACAAATATAATATGCACCATTTACATGAATTGGCAACATGGCAACATAATATTATTCAAAAGATATAAGTAGTTTTGATATCCATAAGTGACATGAAAATTTGGTATTTATAACTCGTATTGACATGAAAAACGATCGCGATGACATCATGTTTTCTCAAATATATGACCTTGTTGATCACATTTTTATTAACACTTGAGAGTAGTCACATTTTTTAAAATTGACTTAAATTTAATACGGAGTAATATTTAGGGGGGAATCTTATTTTTAAGGGAAAGTTCCCGAAATAGGACTAAACAAGTTCGAAAATTCCAAAATAGGACTGTCATGTTTTTATTCCCAAAATAGGACTAATTACTGCCAAATTTGGAAAATACTGCCATGTTTGAAGTCTGGTATTGCCAAAACATGGCAGTAATTAGTCCTGTTTTGGGAATAAAAACATGGAAGTCCTATTTTGGAATTTTCAAACTTTTTTAGTCCCATTTTGGGTAATATCTCTATTTTTAATTACAGTACAATACTGCACATCATTTTTTTCCTAAAGCATACTGCACATCATTTTATACTCCCTCCGTCCCATAAAACTTGGCCAAATTTCCTTTTTTGGCCATCCAAAAAACTTTGTCATTTCTCTTTAAAGTAAGGAATATGTGGCTGAAGTTATTTATCTCTCTTCTGCATAAATTTCAACCACACAGTTTTTACTTTATTAATCTACATGCAAGTCAACTTTGGTCAAGTATTTGATAAATGTAGTTTTTGTAAGAAATTAGGACTTCTATTTAACTTTTTAATGAGATAAATGGGCACAATGAGATAAATGGGCACAAGCACAATAAAATATACTCCGTAGTACATATAATCAATTCCAACATTTCACTTGTATTGAGTGGCCACATTTTTGCTTTTGAATTTTGTGTTAGACCATGGGATTGCGAGCCATCTATTCTTCTAGTTTACCAGTGCAATCGAAACATTCTGCTTGATGGCTACACAAGTTTAAGGAAACAAAGTTACGCCTTCGCTACTAGCTATAGTTGTTTTTAGTGTAATGGTAAGTGTTAGATCCTGACAACTGGTATCAGAGCATGCACGGGTTTGACCCCAATCCCAACATGTTGAGCAGTTGAAGGCACGCAAGTGCTAGGGTTGTTGGTCCGCATCAACAATTCGACCAGTTTGCTGATACTAGTCATGGACCCGGGCCGGGCCGGTTCCGGTTCCGGGCCGGGCCCGGCCGGGCTTTTTTTTGGGAAGGAAGGCCCGGGACCGGCCCGGGTAGCCACCGGGTCCGGTCCGGGTCCAAGCCGGGCCGGGCTGGGCCTCCGGTTCGGTCATATATATATATATATATATATATATATATATATATATATATATATATATATATATATATATATTTGCTTTCCTAACCCCCCAAACCCCTCCTAACCGTCAAGCCCAGCCCGGCTAACCCCAAAAAGTGAAAAAAAATAAATAAATAAATAAATAAATCAATTCGGCCCGGGCCCGGGCCCGACCCGGCCGGGCCGGTTCGCCATATACAAGGCCCGAGCCCGGACCCGCCCCCCCCCCCCCCCCACCGGGCCTAGGCCCGACCCGGACCCGAGAACCGGGCCAGTTCCGGGCCCGCACAGTTGCAGGCCGGGCCGGTCCCGGGCCGGGCGGCCCGAACCGGGTCCATGCCTAGCTGATACAATCACAATGTGGTACTTGACCGCTACATAAGTATAACGAAATAAAATTGCACCTCATTACTACATAATACATATAGCTTTTGACTCAATGGTAAAATCCTGACAATTTGGTATAACAAGTACTCATCCTTTTAAAATTTGATAGATGTCCATAAGATTTTTAGAACTTCAATTTATATGATCAAATCAAACATTTCCATCTATATGGAATATGGTTTTTGAATTTCATTATGACACGTACTTATTATTCAATATTTGATAAGTGTCATCTCTATCAGACTTTTAATTCAATATATCTTTCCAGAAAGATAAAAATGTCTCAAATGGAATAAGCTGCAGAGTCATAGTGTTTTAGAACTTGAAAAGGAAGCTTCATACTGGTGAAGTATGATTTGATCATGCACAACTTTTTTCAGCATACAAAAACCAGGCATACCCATCCTTTAATACGTATACATACTTTTTCTTCTTCAAGCGCACTGGCATTTTTCAAGAATAAAGACAGAAAATAGGTGGGTAAATGGAAACACCTCCTGTAACAAACACCCCCAAAACAAACTAATTCATGGAAGCAAAACAAACACCAAAATATATGTAGCAATCCAACTTCAGTGCATTCATTGAAAATAATAGGTGGTCGGGAAAAAATTGGCATCCTAAGCTTTGATAGTGACACTACACAAACAAGTACCTGACGGCTTTATTTCACAGGTCTTCCACTCTGAACCCGGAGCCGCATTAGGATCATATAAAAGTGTAGTGGCAGAACCATCATCCTCCTGCACGCCAGAAAACAGCAAAAGCTTCTCGTCCAAAACTCCAAATCGAAACCCAACGGTTGAACTCCGAGTCACGGGGACGGTGACCATCTTCCATGAACTGTCACCCGGGTTGAATATGGCTAGCTTACGCTGGTTCTTCCACTCAATGCAAAACAGCTTCTTACCCAGCACAGCATGAGCAGTGACCATGACACAACCGTTTTTCAACTCACTACACCATGTGTGCCTCTCCGGATTGTACACGTCAACAAACCTGGAGTTTCCTATAGTGAAGCTTGAACGCCCGCCCATGACGTAAAGCTTCCCATTGAAGCCGTAGGCGAAACAGCCCCACCTTGGGCGACGAAGAGACTCGATCATCGTCCATTTTTCAGTGTCCGGGTCATACATCTCAGCACAACAAAGGGATTCTCCATCCACACCGTAACCTCCAACTGCATACACCTTTCCATTCACTTCGGCACACGCAAAATCATAGCGTGCCACATTCATCGTGGTTAAAATGCTCCACCTGCCGATGAGCAAACAACCCGAGACAAAAGATATTAATTTATACACACTTCCTCCTCCCATAAAATTTTGCCAACTTTCCTTATTTTGTGCTCTAAAAAATTGCCACTCCTATTTAGAGTAATAAATACTCCCTCTGTCTCATTTTATAAGATATCTTTACTATTCACTTGGTCAACACAAATCACTCTTAATCTCTTACTTAATATATCAAAATTTTATGAAATTTGATTTTTTTGGAGGTTTTGTAGCGGGTTTAATGTAGTTTCTGAATATGTAATTTTTTTTCTAAAAATAATTTGAGTGCAGGCAGGGATCCGTTTGCTTTATTGTCGGTCAAACATCGTAAACCGAAAAGTATCTTATAAGGATGTTTTTACTTGGACTGTAATTTGCTGGTCTGGTCTGATCTGGTCTGATCTGAACTGGTCTGGTAAGGTTTGGTTTATTTGTATTTTTATAACTATTCAAGTCTGGTCTGGTCTGAACTGGTCTGGTCTGGACTAGTCTGGGACAAATTACAGTCCAAGTAAAAACATCCTAATTCGGGATGGAGGGAGTATGTGGTTAAAGTCTTTTTGTCTTTCTTCTTCATAAATATGTGCATGTATCAGAAGAAATAATGGGACCTGTTAACATGAACTCTTGTGGGAGCATATTCAAGTATATTTTAAAGGGTGGCCATCTAACAATATAAGCCAAATAGGGATGTTATTTTCACAAATTCTTGATTAACTTTGCTGTATTTTTACTTGGTAAGTTAACTTTCATTTCTTATCTTGATGTATGTTTTCTTGTTTAGCACTATTTGTCTCCAAAAGAGTTCTATTTTTAGGATGTTTTTACTTGGACTATTTTCAGTCCCAGACTAGACCAGATCAGACAAGACCAGACTTGGACAATTATAAAATACACAGAGACTAGAAGTTTATCAGACCAAAAAATTTCAGTCCAATTAAAAACATCCTTAGAGCCAAAACATTTTTTTAAAGACAAAACGCTTTTCCAGGTAAAGGGTATACATTTTTAATATTTGACATTTGTTATAACAGTTTATATGAGTATTACCCATTTCTCTTATCTAACTTATAAGTCATACTTTCATTTTTCTTTTGTTCATGCTACATTGATGCCTTGATGGCCACTTCTTTTTTTAACACAACTACTAATATTCTACTTTCTAACTTTACCTTTTAAGATTTGACAACTTGACCCATTCTCACAACGTTTTAATGTGTACAAAGGAAAAGTGGGAAGGTTCACTCACTTCACTGCCATCCTTTGTTTCTTAAATGCCCAAGCAAAAAGAAAATGAGAACTATAAAATGTGACTGAACGGTACTTGTTTGAGTTTAGTTTTTCTTTTTTATGTCATTTTTATAAGCATTTGTTTGAGTTTAGTTTTTCTTTTCATGTCATTTAGCTTTTGTTTCTTTTTTTATCCTAAAATACTTGCAACTTTTCTACTGATGAAACTTTTCACCTTGGCTAATTATTTTTCTGCCACACCACTGGAGAGGAGTCATAGAATGTAGAATATAGATCATAACAATAAAACAGAATAACAAAGTAAGACTGATAGAATCCTCCAGAAAATACAGCAATTACAGGAAATTACTATCAAGAAACAATTGGAAATTCTTATTAAGGAAGATGAACAGTACAAGAAACTATGGCCGAAGCCCCCAATGAGCCGAAGCCCCCCAAAGAAAGAGAATTAGTTCTCGATCTCCCAAAGTCCCAAAGTCAAGTCTAAAACAGCCTACTTGACTTCTCCCAACTTATTCTATTTATACTAATCTAGTACACTTCTTATTATACTTGGTTTATTAGGCCCACTCCAAACAGTCTATTAGGCCCAATTCCTAACAATACTTCCCCCCAAAACATCCACCTTGCCCTCAAGGTGGGTAATATGACACAGCTACCATCTTCTTCTTTTCCTTCATCCTAGCACCTCTTCCTCTCCAATACTTATTTATCTGCAGGGCCTTTTGCTTTGCTACTTCCATTTTCCGTTCTATGTACTTCACAGCATAGTTCCACAGAGGCCAGAAAATTTGATCCAAAACTTTGATTCCTGCAGATTTTGGGAAGACCAAGGTGCAGCCTGCTGCAACATAGGGGACAACTACTTCATGCTTTTGAACACTTCCTCCTTCAACATCCTGTTCACTTGATGAGTCATCTCCTTGTAAAATCACCTTCTGCCCTTGTACTTCCCATTTGAAAGTCTGACTTTGGAAGTTAATCTCCGTGTCTCCCAAGCTTGTTAGCCAGTCCATTCCCAAGACTAAATCCGTGCTCCCCAGCTCCAATAAGTAATAATTTTGATGAATACCAATTCCTTGCACATTCAGATCTACACCTGCACATCTGCCACGGCTTTGAATACATTCTCCATTCCCTAACTGCACTCTATTCCCCTGAAAAGGAGTATAAGGAATCCTCCACTTTTCCACCAAGCTTAGTGACATAAAATTGTGTGTAGCACCTCCATCAATGAGTACATTTACTGTGTTTTCACCTTCATGCCATTCCAGTTTACCCTTTACCTTAAAGGTTTTCAAAGGGGTTATGTCTTTCTCATCACTTAAAGAAAACTGCATGGTCTTCAATTCTAGAGATGTGGTCTTATCCCTGCCAGATTCCATTGATTCAACTTCAGAATCAGCTTCACCCTCCGAATTCTCCACTAGGATCATTTTATAGTTCCTCATCTTACAGACATGTCCTCTTCCCCAATTTTCACCACATTTAAAACAGAGTCCTTTCTTGCTTCTGTTTAATAGTTCTTCTTGGGATAGTCTGGGACTTGTCTCATTAGATACGCAGCTTGGACCTTCCTTCCTGCTTTCATCTCCCCATTTCTGGCCTGAAGACTGGATGATAGGTTTAGTCTGCCATTTCCTCTTTCCTTCATCCTTATTCTTCACAAATAAGGTTTCAGAATTCTTGTTCTCAATCGTGGACGCAGTATCCATAACTTCTGCCAACGTTCTAGTACGATGTAACTTCAATTCTGCTCTTATATCTCTTTTCAATCCCTTAAGAAAGATTCCTCTCAAGACTTCTTCATTTAAGTGGCCTTGGGACGCAATGGCAGTCTCAAATTTATCCCTGTATTCTTTCACCGTTCCTTTCTGCTTCAAACTGAGTAGTGGTCCCAAAGGATCTTGCACCAATTCTGGTTGAAATCGTTTGGACAGAGCAGTAGTAAAAGCATTCCAAGTTTGATGTTGAGCTTGTCGTTCCCACCATTGGAACCAGCTCAAGGCCTGGTCCTCCATGGCCACGACTGCAACGTCAATCTTATCTTCTTCGTCTGTCCTGTTCAATCGGAAGTACCGGTCCATCCGTACTAACCATCCAAACACATCATCGCCATTGAAAATAGGTAGGTCAATTTTTCGACCTACCTGTTGATGGTGCCGCTGATGTCTGCGTGAGTCGCGATGGCTATGCGAAGTGGAGTGGTCTGATCCATCAGAACTATCGCTGTTCTTCACATGTCTATTGTGATGCGATGTCGTTGAATGATGCGACCGACTCGACCGACTCCTAGATCGATCGGAATGTCTGTTTTGGAGGTCCGCGATGCCAGCCTGCATCGTCGTCATCATCGCGATCAGGTTTTCATACTTCGTTTCTACTTCAGCTATTCGTCCCTCCATCATCTTCCTTGTTCCCACCATTCACAGCAACGAAAGTCTCTGATACCAATTGATAGAATCCTCCAGAAAATACAGCAATTACAGGAAATTACTATCAAGAAACAATTGGAAATTCTTATTAAGGAAGATGAACAGTACAAGAAACTATGGCCGAAGCCCCCAATGAGCCGAAGCCCCCCAAAGAAAGAGAATTAGTTCTCGATCTCCCAAAGTCCCAAAGTCAAGTCTAAAACAGCCTACTTGACTTCTCCCAACTTATTCTATTTATACTAATCTAGTACACTTCTTATTATACTTGGTTTATTAGGCCCACTCCAAACAGTCTATTAGGCCCAATTCCTAACAAAGACTAACCTATTCAAGCATGAATCATACTGAAAAACCTCTGCTGAAGCAGAACCAGGTCCATCAACCACTGAATATCCGCCCATAACAAGCAAGTTACCATTGAGAACGACCACACCAAACCCATCTTTCATAGGTACAGGCATCTTCGGGAGCTGATGGTGTTTGTGCCCCAAACAATCCAATACCTCCCAGTAGCTTTCCTTTCCATCAGCATCTGCAGTTAAGACATAAAGCCACTCCTGGAGCAATCCGGCTAGCTTTCGTACCATTATGAACTCTTTGCTTCCCATAAATGATCTCCATTTCTTGTTCACGCCACTCATTGCAGGAAAAGAAGATCGGTGAACAAGTGCGAGGATGCATTTTGCCATGTCATCAGGCAATCCGGGCAAGATGGGAGAATATGAGTCATTAGCCATAAGGGAAGTAATGCCAGGATCGGGCATTTTGTTTAAAATCACAATACTGACAAATTGAATTCAACAGTGTCAACAACAACAAGCTTTTAACTAGAGAAATTCATGATATCCTTCACTTAAGGAAATTTTAGAAGACCAATGCATAAAAGTTGTTGCGAAGTGGATATATTGAGCTGTGAAGGCTGACAACTTTTTATGCTTTGTCCAAACAGATTCAAATTCCATGCCACTTCTTCTGGTCCTACTATTGTTCAGCTGGATTTGGATATCTATACTGCTACTACTCTCCACGTCCCTTGTGTTTGTTTCACCCCAGAGAATTGCTTGAATAACTATGTATATAGAAAGGAATTTTATGTCATCTCTTATTATATATACCCTTAAAGAATAACAAATCAGTGTGAAACATAAAAAATAGTGGAAGTATATGAGTGACCACTCACCGGTCAATGCCATAGAACACAGGTTTTATCCAGCAGTTACTTCCATCTTTAACGGAACAAAAGAATCACCTATGATATCGTAGTATATGAAATAAGGTTAATAAGTTTGCATTTAAGTAGATTCCGAAAAGCTAAATCCAAATCATGAAGCAGCACATAGAAGTTCCAAAAAAAAATTAAACAAAGATATAAACATTGCTTAACCTTCAGAACATGAAAATCATGTTTCTTAAATTAATATAATGGCTTAATATGATGAAGAAACAAAACTGTTCCTTAGGGACTAAAGGCAGCAGTAATAACTGAAGAAGTAAGTACCTGAAGTACTTAATCGCACATTAAACAAAATTGTTTTCTTTATTACAAGCTCCAAAATATTCAGCTGCCTGGAGATCTTGGAAGGCTTAACAAATTCTAAACAATTGAAGCAGTACATATTTACCTTCACCCACCAGTCTAACACTCAGGAAAATCCGGAATCCAATCCCTAGAAAGGAAATAATGTAAAAGAATTAAAATATGCAGCTAAAAAAAAGAATTCAAGATTTAGGTTTTAACTCAACAGCAGAAGCTTTTTTCAGTATGCTTCTTGCTTGGGTAGGCTAGTTATATAAGTCCCCCAAAACAAGATGTAAAATTAATAAATATATCCACCAAATATGAGATCAGACATATGAATATCACCTCCAGCAAGTATAAACGAATTTCAGATTATAAATTTATATTCCAAGAAGTCAAGAACAGTGAAATATTATGATAGACTAAAAGTAAATAGCACAACTCAAGCACAAAGATACTAGAAACATCGGTATCAAACCCGAATTAGGGATCTGCTAGTTCAGAAAACGATATGAAAGGTTTTTTCTAAGAGGACTATTTCAACAACAAGAAGATAGCTGAACGGAAAATTAAATTCAACAGTAATACATAAAGTGAACCCATTTCACTGATTAGAGAAGCGACAAAAGAACGAAAATGCAGGCGGAACACTAAGCAAAACAAATATAACTAAAATTACACATTCAGGTGCTATATAACCTGGAAAATGATAAAGCTTTGACGAGTGCTGAGGTAGTCGAGTTTAGCGGTAAGAGCTAGAAGGTGAATATGCAGAAGATACAGTGAGTTGGATAGATGTGGATGAGGAAGAAGGGCAATGCAGATAATTGGATAGACACTGGGTGTGTAAATAGAATGAATTTTGGGAGGACACTGAGAAATGGGAAGGACACAGGTCAAAGGGATCACACTTCGTAATAATAACACCCAACTCCTTGTCCAAAAAAAATCTTTGCGGAGGTGTATGCATTTTGACTTTGAGACAAATTCAAGAATTGAATTCACACACCTCTACTTGGTAGTCATTTTGATTTTAGATGATGTAATTGCAAGATTTTTTTTGTCACTAAGTTTTTTATGTCACATTCATTTTTTATAACATGTTTATTTCACGGGTTACTAAAAAATGCTTATTAAGACTCGCGTTAATAAGCGACGTATAAAATAAGCAACGTTGTAAGTTCATGTTTCCTTCAAAAGATTTAAAAGATCGTTTAACATTAAAATGTCCAAAATAACTCTCTCTATATATATATATAGACACACAAACATTCATGAACACAAGTATATAATATAATATGTGGGGGTACTCATGCCCCCTACCCTACACCCTAACCACAATTCCACACCTTTGACCCCTACCCCTTCCCTACGACCCTACCCCTACCTTTACCACGACCTTACCCACTACCTCTAACTCCCCTACAACACATACCCCCTAACCCCTACCCTACTCGTTAAGGGTGGGTCGGGGTGGGGTGGAGTCGATTTAGGGGTATGTGGTATGGGGTAAAAGGGTAGGGGTAGGGGTTAAGGGGTACGGGTGGTGGGGTCCAGGTAGGGACATGTGGTAGGGGTAAAGGGGTAGAGATCGGTGTAGGGGTCAGTTGGGGTGGGGGTGGGGTAAGGGATATTGTCGAGGGTAGGGTAGGGTAGGGGTAAGGTAGGATAGGGGGTTGGTGTGGGGTCGGGGATAAGGTAGGTAGCAAGTAGAGGGGTAACAATAGGGTAAGGGCAAGGGGTAAGGGTAAATTCGGAAACTGAAAAAGCTTAAAGTGCCGCTAATTAATGCATGGGGGGTGGTATGCTTAGTAAGCGACGCTTTAAGCACATCTTTCAGTTAGTAAACAGCTTTTTAAGCAACTTGCGTGTTTACTTCACATGTCTTACTAACCTAACTGTGACTTTAGCAGCGAAGTAAACGCCTCCTAAGAGTTGTCAATGTTGGACTTTCGTGTCACTTACGACTGTTAATGCTTCGTTAACCATGTCATTGTGTTGCCGAAAAAATTTCGTCGACATTTTTCAACGACGCCTCTCCCCCAGCCTCATCCATGTGTGGCTAACAATGAATTTTAGGCTTAAATTATCACCTCTGTCTCCCTGCCCTAGCCACTTACCGTCACCGCCGTTCGGCTCCTGTGGCCATAGTCGTCCGATCGCCGACCAGCCCCAAATAGCGTCGGATGTCCCCGATCACCGCCATTTGTGTTCATCCAATCGCCCCCGCCCCTAGCCCCACTGGCTAGCCTCCAAGACCCTTTCCATCCCGCCTCTCTAGCCCCAGATACGGCTGCTGCTCACCTCATAATCCTAGTCGTGGCAGCTGCCGACCCAACCCCAAGCCAAATCCATATTCGATCAAATCCCTTCCAAGCCCATGTCACTGCCAGAGAGATGACAAATCAGCATCGCCTCAACATATATTTCCACAAAAAGAAAAGATTAGCTAGATAAGAAGATGAAGAAGAACCAGATCTAATTTGATCTGGTGATGGCGATGAAGAGTAGCGAAATCATTGTCCCTACCATAACAATTGTGTGCACTCTAGTGAAATCTTCGTTGCTAGAGGAAGAAAGAAAGCGACGAAGATGAGCTCAATCGATGTATTGCCCACCAGGGCTCGACCGATGAATTGCGCGCAATGGGTTGGGATTGCGCAAAGATTAGTCATATTTTTGTCTATTGAAACTGTCGAAGTAATGTTTGGACCATTCTTTCTTGTTTCATCCCTCAATTAGGTTTTCATTTTTCTTTTTGAGACTAGCCTTCTCACGCACTATGCGCGAGGGTTGATACCCAACATAAGTATTTTAACATATGGATCGGAAAAACTTTTAGGCATGGGTACTTTTTTGGAAGAAGAAAAATAGAAGCATTGTAGATGTGCAAAAGAGGCAGGGAGGAATGCATCATAGAAAAGAACATTGGACAACAACATTACAATTCTTGAGGAAGAAGATTCCATACAAGAAGAGTTGTTTACATGCAATAAAGATTTCGACATAATTTGTAGTAGTGATAATCGGATAAGAAAGTAGAGCCATAATAGTCCCCCCCCCAAGTAATTATAAGTTAACCTGAAATCCATATTAAAGGATATTTGGAGTAATAACATTTTTGGCATATGCAAGCAAGCAAAAAACATCATCACACGAGGGTTACTGGGCAACATCTTTTTTGGCTTTTCCCTTCTTCCTTTTTATCATAGATGCAGCCATGGTTTCATTATCAGAAGACTCTCTAGCAGGTGTAGAATCTGTGGGTGATTCATCAGTGTCGGGCTCAAAAGGCGAGTTTTCGTTTAGCTGATGTATTTTCCTTAGCAACAGTGATGGTGTCATCTTGGTGCAGCACATTTGGGCTGGTGTTTGTGTGCGCAAAGATGCAAACTATGTTCTATTTGCTTCCTTGAACTCCATCATCTTTTTTTGAACGCCTTATCTCGGCTACAATAGTTAGTTAGTTTGAGAAGTTAAGGCACTCAAGTTGACCTCATCACAAGGGGTGTTATTTTCATCAAACATTTGATATCATTTGTGAACAAGGTGACACCGATTTCACCAGTTTCATGACTTTCATCAGAGACATGTGCACCCATCTGCTAGAAAATATCACAACCATCAAATTGCACATTAAATGATAAAATCTATCAATTTTAAACCTCTTAACAGTCATGCCAAAGTTCTGGCCACAACACATGCACTTCAAAGTAATCCCTTATCCAGAATTTACTTTTCTATTACAATAGTTACGGCTAATGACATGAAAACATGAAACGAGCAACTGGCTAATATAAATTATGATATGCCAATTAGCCAAAGCCACCATTTCTACTCATTCAAATCCAAATGAGAACATACATGATATGATATGCAAATTAGCCAAAGCCACCATTTCTACCCATTCAAATCCAAATGAGAACATACATGATTTGTAATGATCGATAACCTTTTAAGTAGTCTCCCCACACAATGAAAGGACAATAGTTCAACAAACCACATAATCTTTAAATGTGATGCTTCAGCAAAATAGAACAAAACAACCATCTAAACGGCCCATAAAAAAACAATCCATTGATCTTTTTTGCTAAGGTTATACCACACTAAAATCAAATTTTCCACAAAAAATTATCAATTTATCTTTCGTGGCTTCTTGTTAATCATATCTTATAAGATTATACCTCACAAAACTCAGCTTTTCAACAAAAAATAATAATTTATTTATCTTTTTTGTTAATCATATCCTATAAGGTTATATACCCACAAAAAAACAGTTTTTCCAGCAAAAACAATCTATTCATCTTTTTGTTAATAATATCTTATAAGGTTACACCCCACAAAAAACAATTTTTCCACAAAAAATCTACCTTTCATTCACACCTAAATTAAGGCATTGTATTTTGTTTTTGGCTTCACAATCGGCAATCACAACCAAACTATTTTTGTAAAAATATAAAACAAATTCCAAAAATGACAATGAACTAAAAAGTATAAAATATTGTTATTAATGTTTGCCCAATTTCTCTAAACCATACGGAAAAGATATTACTTGCCAAGACTGCTATCTAAACATCCATACATTATAATTATGGGGAATTAAGCCTTAGTTTTGCCAAATTAGTTTTGATACTTTTTAAAAACCGCAGAGATACTTTTTAGTTCTAGTTCAAACCGGCAAGCAAACAAAGTCAACATTCGGCAAACCCCCAAAATGTTTTCTTTAATCAGGGAGAGAGGTTTTTCTCATATGGCCATTTTGAAATAATTTCCCTCTGGGATGGAGAAAGAGGCGAACTACACCAAGTTATGAATAAAAATCCTAAATCTTGTAGAGAACATTTTATTCAATTTTTTCCTTTAAATTCGCCCAAAGTTGTATTTTTCTTGGCGGAATTGGCACTCAAAAAGTCAAAGATGCTCCAAAAAACGTAAAAGGAGAGGATGGAGATACAAAACTTACCTATTCAGCACACAACAAACAACAAACAACACAGTAAAGAGACACATACCGCCCTGGGAGGGAGTGGCCAATGCAAAAGTACATGCTCATCATTCTTCCCATACTCAACACAGATCAAAGAGGATCATGCACGGGCAATGATTCGAAACGGTGGAGGTGGAGAGGTAGAACTGCTACGAAGTGAACAGACGGAGAATAGTGATGAACTGATAAAAGGAGGCCGGTTAAGTGAAACAGAAACCAGAGCGGTATTTTTTTTTTTGAGGACGGAAAACTGGACTAAAAATCTTTGACACTGTAAGTTAGACACTTTATATATATAAGGAGATAAGGAGATATCCTAAAATACATTTTGACAAAATTTTATTGTGAAGAACACCTTTAACCCTCATCCATTCTATGTCTCTCCCTCTATTAACCACATCAGTCGTGCCCTTTTTTCTCTCCCCTCTCTCTCACCTATCCATAATTGTCCACTTGCTTGATTGACACCGCTAGATCAATCCGGATAGATACTCATACTCATATATTTAATATGCACACTCTCCCATTTTTCTCTCCCCTCCCCTTATCTCTTCCCTCTCTATCGAGCCCATTTGAATATCCATAAGAAGATTGGATCATCTTCTTAACTTCTTTTCTTCTTCATCCTCCTCTTCCATTCTCCATCCCCTTCTTCTCTATTTTTATCCATTTTTTCCATTACTTACACAAAATCAGCTTATTTATTTATTCCCATTTATTTTTATGATCTTTTCAAAAAAAAATTCAAATTACATGTAAATTGAGCACACATAAATCATTTATGTGAACACGAACAATTAAACAATCTAACAGACAACTATTGTCTATGAACCTCACAACTATTGCTTGTTTGGTCGCATAAAATAATTGTTTATACACAGACAATTATTATATGTATATACAACACTACACACAAATATATATTTGCATGCCAGATTCAATATCTGTAAGTGTATTTTTGGCACGAAAATTAATGTGTGCTCACCGTCTCACAGAAAACTCTCACACGTCACGCACACCAATTGTCTGTTAGTAATATTTTGTATAAGAATGTTTTTACTTGGACTGTAATTTGTTGGTCTGGTATGATCTGGTCTGGTCTGAACTAATTTGTTCAGAACTGATCTGGTCTGATCTGGTAATGTCTGGTTTCTTTGTATTTTTATAACTATCCAAGTTTGATTTGGTCTGGTCTATTCTGGTATGGTCTAGGACATATAACAGTCCAAGTAAAAACATCCTACGTTATGTACAACTTGTATATAAGAAGCAATTCTGAATTAAAAATGTCCTAAGAGCATCTTCAATGCTACAATGTGCACGATGCATATGTGGCATGAGAGATAGCCACATAAATATTAGCAAATAAATTATCGTTCTCCTTATTTGAATGATTTTGTATAATTTTGGTAAGTTTTTCACTGCAATGTCAAACACAATGTCAACATATAGACGATCTTCTTGACAAAAAACTTATCAAAATTGTATAAAATCAATCAAATAAGGAGAAAGATACTTTATTTGCTAATATTTGTGTGTCTGTCCAGGGGCGGATCCAGGAATGAGGGGTGGGGTGTGCTAAGCAGTAAAAATTTTCGTTATTGCATACAAAAGGTTTAGCTTAGGACTGATAGTTATTGAACTGAGTTTTTTTCGAACTACTCGAGTTCGATCGTGATTTCGAATTTAATTTACTGACTAAAGCTTAACGAGCTTCAATCTCGAACATGGACTCGAGCATATTCATAACTTATAAATTATAGAAATAAACTACTCCCTCCGTTCTTTTTTATTAGTCCTTCTTTCCTTTTTGGGACGTTTTTTTATCTGTCCTCCTTTCCATTTAAGGAAAGTTTTTACTCTAAATATACCTTTATGCCCCAACTTTTATTACCATTACCCCTTTCTCTTTCCTACTTTTTCATTTACCCACTACTCATTACACCTTTTACACTACCCCTACTACTTTCCTTTTAAAACCTGTGCCAAAGTCTAAGAGGACTAATATTAAAGAATGGAGGTAGTATATACTACCTCCGACTTTTATTAAGACTAATTTGACTTTTCAAGTCAAAGAAGTTAAACTTTGAATGACTATATATTTATACAATAAAATTGATAATATGAAAATGAAATGGAAATGTTCTTTGTTAAAAAGTTTATCATAAAAGTATAAATTTAGTAAGTTTCACATTAATACATGAGTTAAAATGATGGATCAAAGTTTACCATCTTTGAGTAAAGAGTCAAAGATGGCTAAATAAAATGAGACAGAGGTAGCATATCTAAAATTTAAACGTTTTTAGTGTGATTTATAATTTTATTATTGATTATTAAAGATTTTAGTATTTATTGATATGAATTAAAATACTTTTATAAAAGTATAAAACTAATAAGTAAAAATAGTCGATGTACATAAAACTAATAAGTATTCACAATTTTAAAATTGAATTGAGATTTTGAATCCATTCTTACATGCCTAAACAGTAAATACAACGTTCTCTATTCTTTAATTGCATTATAAATAAATCATTTTCTAATCTTTAATTCTATCTTTAATCATTATAAATTTATAATAATAAATAAAAACTATTTTACTATCTACTGAAAAAATTTAATTAATAATCAAATAGAATTACAAAGTTGGTAGGCTTGGGCTGGGCTAGACAATAGTTTTGAGGTGGGCTGGAAATTAAACCTATACCTATAATAATAAAAATAAATTGGGCTGGGCTGGAGCCCACCCCTGCCCCAACATAGATCCGCCCATGTGTCTGTCTCTTGTGGCACATGTGCACCGTGCATATTATATTATTGGAGATGCTGTGAATGCTTACCACCAGAGTGAGACGTTAGGGTTTTACTACGTACTCCGTACAATTTTTACCCAGAGTTTTTCTCTTTCCTCATTGAATTGCATTGAATTACACTTTCAAATGACCAACTGCCCAACAGCAAAATAACAAATGTGAAACCGGTAAAATCAAAAAACAAAGTCGGAGAAGCTCCATCCATTAATGGCGGACTACGAGGCAGCGACCGCAGCCCATCAGACCCTAATCCACCGCGAGGCAGAGGTCCTGCAGGCGCTAAGCACCGTCATCCAGCTCCACTTCGAGAAGACCCTCGAGAAGAAACGGGCCGTCGATCTCCAGAAGAAGGAGCTATGGAAAATGTTCCAGCTCTTCTTCATATTCCTGGCGCTGGTCGTCCTGGGCCAGGCCCAGTCGTCCCGGCTGCAGTGCAGGCACTGCTGGGTTCCGATTGGGCTTCTCTCGATGGGCCACCTCATCTTCTACGTGTCGGTGGCCCAGACCCTGCGGTGCATCAACGGGTTCAAGTACCAGAGGCGGTGCCACAAGCTGACCCTGGGCGAGGCGACGGAGCGGCTGCGGCAGCTGAAGATGCGGATAAGCGGCGGCGGCGGCGCGGCGGCGGAGGAGTGTGAGATACACTACCAGCAACCGCCGGAGAGCTACTTTGATAAGCTGAAGAGGAATTGGGCTTTGCATTTTGGGTTCTTGATCCTGATCTACGCTTTCATGGTATCCTCCTCAGTTGTTCTTCTTTGCTTCTAGGGATTTTCTGTTTTCATTTTTTACCTAATTATTTTTTTTGTATTTTACATCCACGTTTTGGGTATTGTAATTCTGTGGTCGACAATCGTGGATTGGCGTAGGTTGTAGCGTGACGTGGAATTTGTTTTAGGGTGATTTACCGGGAAAAGTGGGTTGGAGTTGCCAAAATACAGGGATTTTTTTAGGGTTTACCAAAATACGGGAGTCGGAACACCCAATTCCGACTAGAGGTAGGGTTTCCAACAAAAAAAACTCCCCTTCTGTCGGATTAGCCACTTCCGATTAGGAGTTTTTTTTTTTGCCGAATTCTTAAGTTTTTGATTTTGAGTTTTAAAAACTATAAGTTTTAAATTCTAGAGATAAATTCTATCCATTCCAAATTTAAAAGTTCTTTTAGATTCCTGACATATTTTTTAAAATGAAAACTTAGCATTTTGATTTTTTGAGTAACAAAACATTTGATTGCTTTATATTGTTTTTTAATCCATTTGTATTGTGAATTTTGTTTTAATTGCAATTTTTGTAATTTTAAGTGCAATTTTGATTTAATCCATTCGTCAAATGAGATACAAATTTGATTTTGTTTTAAGTGCATTTTTTGTAATTTTAATGGAAGTGAACAAAACAAATGTAGTTTTCAATGTAATTTATTAATGAATAGACAGTACATACAATATTAAATTTAATACTACATCTAACGTTGCGTGCTCGGCCCTGTTCCGTCCCCACCGCCAGTGTTCCAAGGCCCCGTTGTGTCTCCATAGTAAAACGACGAATTCAGAAATGACTCAACACAATCACCCGCTTGTGTGGAGCACTGATAAGAATCATAATACGGCGGTGGTTGATCAAATGAGACACCTTGATGCGTTGAGAATTGAGGGGGTGGTTGATCAAATGAGACACCCTGTGTTGAGAATTGAGGGGGCGATTGTGAGTTCTCACCCCCACCTTCATGTTCATCTGCATCATCCTCTTCGTCACTTCCACCTTCATCTTCATCTTCATAATGGAATATGCCTCGGTGGAGCATCTCTTCATCACCTACGTCCAGGGCCATCCGCCGTAGTCGTTTTTGACAGTCCTCATAACTCGCGCGGTCGGCTAAGAGCTGATACACCTCGTGAACGCCTTGCTTCTGCATAAAAATGTAACACGTGTAAATAATATGACACGACATATGTTAATGAATATGATATGTATTCAAAAACTTACCACAATACCTCAATCGTGTGCTGTCGGGGTGTAGCCTGTCGTGGGCACATTGTGAGAAGGGTTCTGGACACGTGTTATACCATGCTTCTTGTACCATTTTCGGTACCTATTAGTTGCTTCGAGGGACATATGTCGATCATAATCAAGAAAATATATATTATGTTGTATGGCCGCCCACATCGCCAAGGCACCGGTTACTATGTTGGAACGATTGCCGTGATTATCAGTACCCGTCAAAGGAGCATTCAAAGTATCTTGCCTTATATGGAACTGCCGAAGAAATCGATCGGGGTAATGCATTTCGGCCATATTGCAAAATATGGGCATGACCCTAGCCGACCAAAGCGGAGCGTCATTAAGGATGAGAGGTGGGAGTGTCTCGGGCGCGTAGGGAGTGAAATCAAACTATAAAAAGTTTAATTTGCAATTTAAGAACTATAAAACAATGTGTATTGAAAATTGAATAGTACAGTTGAAGTAAAAATTTCAAGTACTATCTGACTCTCACTCATGCGGTTTAGGTCATCGCGGTACAAGCGTATGCAGTGTCTTGGGGATCCCTTATATGACTTGGGGACGATCCACCTACATTTATTGATTACCGATATGAAGTTAAAAAATGTAACGGTCATATAAAGCATTCTCAATTATTAAGATGTAATTGCCAACATACCTGCACCCATATGGAAGATGGTCATGTTGAATGACCTGAAGTACTGAGGGACGGACCATCAAAATCCTTGACCAAGCCCAAATCTGTAACAAGTGCATACAACCGCCAACTTGTTTGGTTTCCCACTTGGCGCCGTTGCACAAGTTATGGTAGAGGTACCCGAGAACCGCTGATCCCCAACTCCATCGACGGTCTAAAGCCAAGTCACCCTGCAAGACCTCCAAAAAGTACAATCGTATTCTTGTCCCACTCGTGTCAGGGAACAAAAACCCTTCAAGCAATTGCCATATTAGGGTCCGGTGTGTTTAGTGACCTCTTCGTCTGTACTGTCAGGTAGGATCGGGTGACGGGTAACAACACTCATGGTGATATCACTCGTGCACATATGAGTCTCTAGAGGAGTGAAATTACACAACTGCGCGCACAGGTCGATCCACTGAGCCTTACCCTTTATGGTTGGACCACTGAGGGGCATACCCCGAATGGGCAAACCAAGGATCATCGCCACATCTTGTAGACTAATGTCGACCTCACCGAATGGAAGATGGAAAGTATGTGTCTCCGGCCTCAATCTCTCCACCAAAGCGCATATTAGGGGGTGTTTGGAACTGATTCTACTTCTGCTTCTTTTTTAAAGCAGAATCAGAATCAGTTTTCAGAACTGGTCTCTCCCAGCTGCTAAAAAAACTGATTCTAGGAGTAAAGTAGAGCACCCGAATCACTTTTGCACTTTCACCCAAACACTCCAACTTCTGCTTCTGCTCCCTGAAGGAGCAGAAGCAGTTTTAAGAATTGGATCCAAACACCCCCTTAAACTATGATCCACCTTCATACGGGCAATGTGCTCTACCCCCAAGAACCCAACATATGCTAACATATCTATCACTCTTTCATCTCGCTCTTCATCTCCGAATGCAGCTGAAGGGCAACTGACGCATTTCAAGCACGAGTCTTTGGAATTTGGTTCATACCATACACGGTCTGCACGATGGGCACACAGTGGCAACGTGAGTAGTGAACGGTGGGCACGCGCGGAATGTTTTGGTCCATTTGAAATTCCTAAAATAAGTAGTTATAAATTACTAATTTCGAAATTGAACTCTAGATCTAAATTGAACACAATTTATAAATTCATAGGTTTTGAACTCAAATTCTAAATGTAACACAAATTTTAAATTTGCAGATTTTTATAGCTAAGTTCAACTCTAAATTTACAATATAAAATTAAAATCTTAAAAGTTACCAAAATAACTAGTAATTTCGAAATTAATGAGTAAAAGTCCAATTATCATAGTAATTTTTACTAGTAATTTTTATAGTAATTTCAACTATTATAAATAATAAAAAGTTAAAATTAAAGAGTAAAAGTCCAATTTCACAATCTAAATTAAAAAAATTTCAAATTACAAAATTAACTACTTCTATACTCCTAAAACCGAAATTCAAGGCAAATTCTAAATGTAACACACTTTCTAAGTTTCAAGTATTTTATAAATGAATTTTACTCTAAAAGTCCAATTTCACAATCTAAATTAAAAATTTACAAATTACAAAATTAACTACTTCTACACTCCTAAAACCGAAATTCAAGGCTAATTCTAAATGTAACACACTTTCTAAGTTTCAAGTATTTTATAGCTAAATTTTACTCTAAAAGTTCAATTTGACAATCTAAATTAAAAATTTACAAATTACTAAATTAACTACTTCTACACTCCTAAAACCGAAAATTAACTAATCTGGAAATTTGGTTGATTCCAAAGGTTTGATTTGGTAAAATTGAGATTGAGTAATGATGTAGGAATGAGTGTTGGGATAAAATTTAGAATCTATTTATATAAAAAAATAGAGTTGGGAGTTGCGTGATTAGTACGAGCACAGGATTAAAGCTGGTCAAGGAGATGCCTCCCAATCGGATTTGACAGTTCCGACTGGAGGAGGGCTGTTAGATTGTGATTCGCGCGCTTCTTCGAACGGTTAGGAATAAGATAGAATGTGTTTGTTTAGTGGAGTTAGGCAGGAGTATTCAATTGTAGATCTGACACATTATTGAATTATTTTACAAATATGGTTGACAACAATATTGATTGATTAAATTATATCTTATAAAATTTATCTGATTATATTTATCTGATTAAATTTGATCTTATTGAAATTATCTTATTAAATTTTATCTGATTATATTTATCTGATTATATTTTATCTGATAAGTTTTTCTAATTAAATTTATCTGATGGAATTTATGTGAACAAAAAGTTCAGAGACAATGAACAAGAGAACAAATATTTCATTAGTAATTGGATGCAAAACAAAAAATCCAACAAGGTATACATTACAATATTACTCATTTCCTCTCATTGTAGCACGCAAATCCATTTCATTAGTAAATCAAGTTCTCCGTGGCCTACCGGCTCGAGCCGATCTATTGTTTGTGGGCGGGAGAAGTGTATGCGGTGTTTTCTGTCATGACATTGAGGTAATTATTAATAGGCATAATATCGGAAGCGTACGTCCGGATACATTACAATATTAGTCATTTCCTCTCATTTCAAGGAGAGGAAATGAGTAATATTGTAATGTATACCTTGTTGGATTTTTTGTTTTGCATCCAATTACTAATGAAATATTTATTCTCTTTTTCATTGCATCTGAAGTTTTTCTTCACATAAATTCCATCAGATAAATTTAATTAGAAAAACTTAGCAGATAAAATATAATCAGATAAAATTAATCAGATAAAATTTAATAAGATAATTTCAATAAGATCAAATTTAATAGATAAATATGATCAGATAAATTTTATCACATATAATTTAATCAATCAATATTGTCGCCAACCATATCTGTAAAATAATTCAATAATGTGTCGGATCTACAATTGAATACTCCTGCCTAACTCCACTAAAGAAACACATTCTATCCTATCCTAACCGTTCGAAGAAGCGCGCGGATCACAATCTAACGACCCTCCTCCAGTCGGATTTGGCAGTTCCGACTGGGAGGCATCTCCTTGACCAGCTTTAATCCCGTGCTTGTACTAATATACGCAACTCCCAACTCTATTTTTTTTTTATAAATA